CTTTTTTTTTTTTTTTTTTTTTTTTTTTGTCTTGGCTCAGGTTGGGGTACTGAGAGTCTGAGCTCCCTGCAGGGGGAAGGGGCATCAGGAGGGGAGCAGGGAAGGAGTCCGGGTCTGGGACAGGTAATCTTCCAACAGGAGCTTCCACTCTCTGAACAAAAGGGGGACAGTCCCCTTTTGTCTGGCGCTCCTGAGGGGCGTGTCCAGGGCCCAAAGCAGCCACCGGTGGCACGCAGGAGGGAGTGGGGGGGGGGCTGCAGCCATAGGGGGAGGGGTGTGCCAAGTGCTTCTAATGGAACCCGAGTGAGTGAGATCCTTCCCTGTGTGTGCCACAGGAGAGAGAGGGCGCTCTCTGCCCTCCTGCCCTCCCTCCCCAGGCATCCATCCGGAATACCCCGGCTGCTCTCGCACTCAGGGGGGAACGGGGTGCGGGAAGCGCACTGCCTGGGAATCCTCTCTGCCCACCTTCAAGGTGAAGGCCACTGGCAGAAGGACAATTGACGATTGTTCTCCCTCCGGTTGCTTCCCTGGGAAGGGCCTGCTGTTGCTCTGGCTGGGGAGCCTTGAGGGGCCGTGGGCTTTGTGTGGGTCCCCGAGGCTCCGGCTGGGACACCCCACCGGCCCTCCTGAGCCACTGCCACGTCCAGTCTCTCCAGCAACCTTTGACCCCTCCCTCCACCCAGGAGCGAATCACGGATCTCCTCCCCAACTTCTCTGTGGGTCCTCCCATCTGCCACCTCCCCCCACCTCCCCAGTTGTACCACCAGATTCAGAAACAACCATGTTCCGCGTGTCTCTCCCACCCGGCACTGTGGTCTGTGAGGCTGCACATGCCAGGATTCTCCAGGAGGCTCCCGTTGGCCATTTTTCTGTCTAGTGCCTAATATTTAGCGTAAATCAAAATACCAGAAAAACACCCCTGCGACAAACATACACTCCCTCTCCCGTCATCCCTGCCCTCTCATCTTGACTTGAGAACGTAAGATTGCCTTCTCTTGAGGTGGAGGGTATCTGATGTCACTCGGCTGACATCTCTGGCTAATTGGACCCGAGCTGGTTATTAACAGGACGTTAATTATTGAATGCCAACCCGCGGGGCCTGTGGGCAAGGACACCTGCCTCCTGCCCTCTCACCTCTTCCTGGGGTCAGCCACCGCAGAGGGCCTGCCCCACCAGTCAGGGCCCAGCCTGGGGTTGCGGGTGCTGGGGGGCACCTTTCCCCGGGGTCAGGGTTCAGCACAAATTTGGGAGCTACTTGTTTGTCCCCTCCCCCCACCCCGCTCTTCCCCGGGAACCTCTCCCGGTTGCAGACGGGGGAGAAAGGGGCTGGAGCCAGCAGTGACCCTTCTTTTCCGTCGCCCCCCCCCTGTCCCCCAGGGCTGAGCCTCACCTTGGGAGAGGGCAGCCATGGGAGGGTTCAGAGCAGAGACAGGCTCTCCCTCTCTGAGTTCTCACCCTCAGCTCTTCCCTCAATAACGGGTCTCCTCCTGATGGCTTTTCCAAGGCCTATGGAGGCCTCGCTGCTCCCCCGCCCCTCCTATGGAGCCTCCAACCCCCTGGTGCTGACCTCCCTGCCTGGGAGGAAAGCCGGGGACAGGGGCTCCCGAGAGCCTCTTCTCTGTGACTCGGTTTCCCCTGCCGCAGCCCTGTCCTTGCCACGCTGTTGCTTCCCCTTCTGCCCCCCCCCCCCCCCCCCCCCGTCTGTGGCTTTCTCATTTCATGCTCCTGCACCTCGCTCCCTGTGACCCGGGCCCTTTGGCGTAAAGGGAATTGGGGGACAGGTAAGGGTTCCCCCTCCTCCAACCAAGAAACACTGCACGTGGGTCCAGGGAGGGGACAGAGCTGGGAAGGCAAAGAACTAAGCATCTGGGTGGTGATGGTGGGGGGTAGGGGGTGGGGGGTGTCAGTAGGACTCGGTGACCATCTCTCCGCCTTTGTCACTTCCCGGGGCTGGCCGTGTGTGTGTGTGTGTGTGTGTGTGTGTGTGTGTGTGTGTGTGTGTCTGCCCCAGTGCTTGTCCGCGGAGGGGAGCGCCGTGGCAGGAGGCTATTTTCATAAACTGTTGCCGTTTCCCCAGCCGAGCCATTGCGTTGGCATCCCTCGCTGCTGCTGCCGCCGTTCATGGAGCTTGCGTGGCTGGGTGTGGGCCCGGGGGCTGGGGAGGGGGGGAGAGGCCTCAGGATGCAGGGGCGGGCGCCGGTCTGGGAGTGCTCCTGAGAGCGCAGCCCCAGGACGGAGGGTGGGGGGGTGGGGGTGGAGGGTGGCCGGGATGGCGGCACCCGGGACGCCAGGTCCCTGCCCTGGAAGTGCTGCTGGCACCGGCACTTTCCGGGCTCCCTTTCTTCGTCTCTTTCTATTCATAGCGCCGCTCCTGCGCGGGGCCAGGGAGGAAAACTTCCACTCGCCCCTGTGCTCTCCATAAATAAAAGAGAAGCAGGAACGACCAGAAAAAGAGAGAGTGTGCAGGCTGAGAGAGACTGAAACCAAAACACAGGGAGAAGGCGCAGCTGCTTTCCCCAAGGCCTTCTGGGGCGCCCGCCCGCCCGCCAGCCTGCTCAGAGTCAAGCCTTTATTTATTTATTTTTCTGGCTTGAAAAAAAAGGGGAAAAAAATTCCCTGTCTTCCTTGATCCTAGCCCACCCCCCACCCCACCCCCCTCCAGATTCGCTGGGTGGCCACTGCCAAATGGACCCGAGTGGGAGCCGGGAATGAAAAATTCATAACTGCTGGACTTTGCTTGTTCATTAGACGTGAACTTGTCGATTGGGCAAATTGTTTTTGGTCTCCAACTGCCGGGGGCTCTCCCCTCCCTCCCGGCTCGCTCGGTTCCCTCCTCCCCTTGGACGCAGCCATTGGCTGCTGGTGGGTGTCTCGTTGCCAAATAGGTGGATCCTTCTCTCTCTCTCTCCTCTCCCTTTCCCTCTCTCTCTCTTCCTCCTCCCCTCCCTTTTACTGGCTTTGGCAAGAGCAAATGGATGGGGATTGAGCATGAAAGGGGAGAGAGAGGGAGTTTGAGAGAGAAAGAGAGAGGAAGCAAAAAAAAAAAAAAAAAAAAAATCCAAACCCCAACCAACACACACCACACACACACACACACACACACACACACACACACACACACACACGGCCCCATCCCAGTCCCATCTCCCTCGCTCTCTCCCTCTTTCTCTCTCTTCCTCCCTCCCTCCCTCCCTTGCTCGCTCCCTCTCTCCTTCGCCTCCGTCTGCCAGTAGCCTCGGCCTGCAGCCGCCCGGACTGGTCCCCTTCCCCGGGCACCGGCGGCTCCCCCTCCGCCCGCCATCGGCTCCGAGGCGAGGGAGGCAGCGCCAAGTTTGCACCCCGAGCGGCTGCCAAAGCCGAAAGCCTTTTCTCCCCCCGCGGCTTCTCCCTCCTGGTTTTTGTTTTTGTTTTGTTTTGCACGGGAGGGGGTGGGGCAGGGTGTGTTATGGATTGGTGGTGGTGGTGGGGGAAATGGGGGGGGTGGGAAGTAGGTTTTGATTTTTAAAAATTTGCATATTTTTCTTTTTTGAAAAAAAAAAAAAAACAACAAAACTGGAATGGGATGCACCAGGGGCGGAATTGAAAAAATAATTTTTTTTGTTGGCTTTTGTTTACCTGCTGTGTGTGGCAACCGGCTTGCTCCCTCTCTCTGCTTGCTATCCCTGACCTTTCTTTCTTTTTTTGCTCCTTTTCAAAAAAAAAATATTAATTTTCCCCTTCTGTGCAATGGAGCGTGGGGGGGGGGAGGGGGAAGGGTTTGAGCATCCACCCAAGCCCGGCCCCCATTCCCCAGAACACCAATAATAACCCCCTTTAAAACATTTACCTTCCTCCCCTGCTCCTCCTCCTCCCCCTCCCCCCACCCGCCCCCAACTCACAACTCTGCGGAGTCCAGAAGCTCAGAATCGGGCGTTGGGCTTTGCCGGGTGCTTCAGATCCATGGTAATGATTTTAATTTTTCCCCCAGTTTTTATTTTTGTAAACAGAGAATCAATTATTATTTAAACTTCAAACAAGCAACCAAGCAAAGAAAAAAAAAAAAAAAAGGAAAGAGAAAGAAAGAAAAAAAAAACAAAAAACCAAAGCGAGAGCCCGGCCCTCTGTCACCTGACTGAGCGGGGAAGGGGGTGAAGGGGTCAGTAGGGATGGGGCCGCGGGGCGCCCCGCGCGGCTTTTAACCCTAATGTGGCCGAGACCACCCCCTGGTTGGCGCGAACAAGACGTGTTTTTGTTCCTTGGCACCGCGATTCACATCCGTGCCGGCGCCGGTGACAAAGCTGGGACCACATATTTAGGATTTAGAAGATCTGTGTGTGTTTTTTTTTTTAAAAAAAATGCTGGGGTGGATGTTCCCATTGGAGCGGGAGAAGCGAGCATGGAAACAGGCTGGGGAGGGGGAAGCCAGCTCCGTCTTCCTCCCTCACCCTGGCCGGTGGATGTCCTGGTCTCTCTGCTTGGGGGGCGGCCAGAGGCCCCCGGTGGCGCCCACCGCCCCGAGCAGCGCGCCCGCGGCGGCCGCGCGCACCGGACCCCGGGCCGGGGGAGCGGCGCGCGCCCCGGGCTGCGGCGGACCATGGAGCTGTCATGGGCGCGACACAGCCTGGCGGGGAGACCGGCAGCGTGTGTGTGTGGACCGCAGCGTTGTCTGTGCGCGCGTGTGTGTGCGAGCGAGCGGGGGGGGGGGAGAGAGGGAGGATAGGTGCGTGCGCTCAGGCTCCCGCGCCCCTGCCTGGCCGCCGAGGCTGAGATGGGCGCGGGCGGCCGGCTGGGCTGGTGGTGCCTCCAGACTGCACTTTCGTAGAACAATCGCAAGAGGAGATTGCCGCGGGTGGGAGGAGGAGGAGGAGGAGGAGAGGAGGAGGAGGAGGAGGAGGAGAAGGGGATTTCTTCCGTGTCCCTCCTAACGCTCTCTCTTCTCCCGTTCTCTCTTCCCCCCTCGCCCCGGCTGCCCCCTCCTCCCGTCCCCCTCGCCCCGCATGCTCCCGGCTTGCCGCCTGCAGGATGAGTTCCACCCGTTCATCGAGGCGCTGCTGCCTCACGTCCGCGCCTTCTCCTACACCTGGTTCAACCTGCAGGCGCGGAAGCGCAAGTACTTCAAGAAGCACGAGAAGCGGATGTCCAAGGACGAGGAGCGCGCGGTGAAGGACGAGCTGCTGGGCGAGAAGCCCGAGATCAAGCAGAAGTGGGCGTCCCGGCTGCTGGCCAAGCTGCGCAAGGACATCCGGCCCGAGTTCCGCGAGGACTTCGTGCTGACCATCACCGGCAAGAAGCCCCCGTGCTGCGTGCTCTCCAACCCCGACCAGAAGGGCAAGATCCGGCGGATTGACTGCCTGCGCCAGGCCGACAAGGTGTGGCGGCTGGACCTGGTCATGGTGATTTTGTTTAAGGGGATCCCCCTGGAAAGTACTGATGGGGAGCGGCTCTACAAGTCGCCCCAGTGCTCGAACCCCGGCCTGTGCGTCCAGCCACATCACATTGGAGTCACAATCAAAGAACTGGATCTTTATCTGGCTTACTTTGTCCACACTCCGGGTAGGTCACTCTCAGCCCCCCCACCCCCACCCTCACCCTCACCCTCACCCCCATTTTATTTTTACTTGCTGGCATTTGTCCTGTTTGTTGTTCCCTTCCTCTCCAAACGATGCACCCAAAGGGACCTACCTACCCAGGGCACCCGTCCGGCTCCCGAGGCCTGCAGCGTGTTCCATGTTCAGTTTCCCCCTTCTGTTTCCCTCCACCCTCTCTGTTCTTTCTCCTCGGCTCCCTTGCCATGCTCTGATGTTGGATGTTCGTGCATCTGCATCTTGGAAGGCCCATCTTACCCAAAAGCCATTGCAGGACTTAAGGCTGGGGCCACGATGTCCCAGAATTACCTGCAATGGTGAGAGTTTGTGATCAACACGACCACCACCAAAATAATAATAATAATTAATAATAATAATAATAATAATAATTATCATCCACTCACTGCTCTGACTTAACATGAGTCAAAAGAAGTATTTGGGGCAGTCGCTGGCTTTCCTACCGCTTCCCCTCAAGTTCAGGGAAGGCTGGATTTGGCACAAGCGGGGTGGGCAGCAGTTCGGTGGAGAGAGGGATGGAGAGAGGCGTGTGTAAAACCTCTGGGTACCAGGCAGAATGAGTAGGAAAGGGGAGCGAAGCCAGAGGTGGGCAGATTCTGGGGCCCAGACGCCCAGGCAGGAGCTCTTGGGGCTGGGGTTTGACTGTCGGAGAGTAAGAAAGTCATTTGATTTTGTAGAGAGTGAAAAGGAGCATGACATGCCTATGCTCTTCCCCTTCCCCTGACTTCTTTCCTGCTGAAGTGACCAGAAAACAGGATGGGTGCCCGCACTCTCTGCTGGCAGGCAGTGAGGCTTTGGGGCCCAGGCATGTCAGGGAGCACGGAAGAGATCTTAAAGAAGCAAAGAAAGTTAAAAAAAACAAAACAAAAAAAACCAACAACTGTAAAATTTCCTTTTCTTTTTGTGTTCCAAGGAGTTCCAGTTCTCTTTGCTTTTCCAATTTTACTCTGCATTTTTGGGTCAGGGTGGCTCTGCATTTTTGGGTCAGGGTTCCCCTTCTGTTTCCTCCCTCCCTCCTTTTCCTTTTTTTTTTTTTTTTATAATTTCTTTCCGCTTTTGTTTTCTTACAAATTGAAACAGAGATGGCTGGTTAATTTTTAGCCTCCACTCAGCTACGCCCAATTTACTGCCGCCTTTGAAAGCTAAATGGGCGGCACTCTGTGATTAAGCAAGGCAGAAGTGTGTTTACATTATGCCCAACCAACTTGTAATGAGAGGGCTACCAAGCCTTTCCCTCTGTGTGTGTGTTTTCCTTTCCACCATCCCAGGATTTTTTCCTTCTTTCTCTCTTTATGCGAATGCAAGAGAATGTGGCTGCACTTCAGCACTAGTGACTGTTCTTTCCTCGAGAGTGTGTGTGTGTGTGTCTTCCTTCCTGTTCATTCACAAAAAAGAAAGGCAGTTCACTTTTCTGCTGTGGTCACCCCTTTGCCTCTCTGGGAAGCTGGGAGGAGTGGTGTGACTTAATCCAGAAGTGAAATTTGGGGGAGCTTTCAGCATTGTGTCGGGAATGTATCCTAAAAGTTTATATGTTGAACTTGGTGTGTGGGGGGAGAGAAGGTAGTTGAGGCCTCTCTTCTTCCTTGTTTCCTCCTTGTTCTGAAAGGTGGCTTTAGTAGTTGGTTGAGGGCAGTAGGTCCCCCAACTCCGCCCGACTCCCACCCCCCTCTGCAGATCTTTCTAGGCCTGTCCCTGTGACTATCATGAATCCTCATGAAGAATGACCAACTGCTAGTGTTCTCCCTTGTTTATCCTTGTTCTCTCTGGAAAAGAGACTGAAGGAGTTTTTCAAAGTTACCCCCTCGTTCTCTGTCTATACCTAGTGGTGTTGGAGGTGGCTTGGGGAGGAGTCACTCCTCCACACGGGGATTCTGCACCTTTTGATTTTTAGAAACAAGGTCTCTATGACAGAAATCGATATTCATCTTCCTCCTGCCCGCTCTCTACGCGGGTCCCCAGAGCTGAGCTGTGTCCCTGGCTGCTTTTATTTTAGGCCAGATCCTTGGCTGCTGCCACCATGGATGGGGCCGAGGGAGGGTGAAGCTTGGGCTAGCAAAGAGGCCGTTTCCTGGCTAGCCTCCTCTCTCCGGCACTGACCAGGCAGATGTCAGGAGACCAGAGGTGTCCCCATCCGCCCCCAGGTGCAACGAGGTCATTAGCCTGGGAGCATGAGTGCATTCCTGCTGCCCCATCACCTGCAGCCCTGGCTCCTCTGTCCTGGCTGAGCTCCTTGACAAAAGCTGAGTGGAGAACTAAGGATTTTTAAAAATAACTTGTCCCTAATTCAGGTCCCTGAACTCCAGAGAATGTCAACGAAGGCCTTTCGGGCTGGAATTGCTTTCATTCGAGTGTGCTTTGCTGAGAGGGTGAGGGTGAGTTGGTGCGGCCCGGGCCACCGTTGGGCCTTGGGTAGATCGATGGTCTCGGGATGGCGTGAAGCAGGCACGGCTTCTCCACGTCACCCCCGTTTGCCAGAAAACGTCTTCTGGCCGAGCCCCCACATGGCACCGGGGTGGCAGCACAGCCGTCTCCATGCTCATCCCCGCAGGCCTGCGCCTTCCTCCGGGCATACACGGGGGGAACGGGCCGGTGGCCGGGGCTCGGACAAGAGTTACTTTGGACTCTCAAAGACAATGTTCTCTTTCCTTAAAACTGGGCTGAAGAACCTGATCTGGGCCGAGCGGATGGCTGGGGCCGGGTTTGATGACAAGCCAACCTGACATGGTGGAAAGTGTGGGGGAGTGGCTTCGCCTCCGGGCGCCATTGTCCTTGTGGCGCTCTCGAGCCCTTGTTCTGCCTGGCGGGAAGCGCCCAGAGGTGGCACGGTCAGGAGGGAGGAAAGGACGCAGGTGTGATGGCGGAGCTCTGCTCCAGCCTACGGGGTCCACGCGGTTGCGTGTTGGGTCCTTCGTGCGGGCGACCTTCCTTCTAGGAATCCTGCCGCGTGTCCCTCCCCACGAAGGAGGGGAGGTTGAGGCAGAGCAGGGTCAAAGAGCACTGCCGTGGGGAGGAGAAGGTAGTGCGTGTCTGGTGATGTCCTGCCATCCGAAGGGGGTGTCCCAGGGCCGGTGGCCGGAGGTGGAGGCGAGCGTGGGCCCCCGAGGCCTCCGCTTGGGTGAGGAAGGACGGGGAGCTGGCCTGCACGCCCTGGCTGGCTGTCTCCAGAGCTGCTTCGGGGTTCTGCAGGGGAACCGGCCTCTCCAGACCCCCCGCCCCGACCGAGGCCCTCGCCCCGGGAAGAAGAACAAGCGGACAGTAATGAATCGCTGTATAGCATGTCCCCAGCAGGCCCGGGCGGGGGCCCGGGAAGTCCAGGCATTGGGGTGGTGGCTCCTCTCTTTCCCGCAGCTCCCTCTCTCGTCCGGGAGACACGTACAGGAGGAGGAGCCCGCATTGCCAGGGACAACCGTTGTCGCCTTATGGCCAGTCTCCGTTTGCCCATAGCCCCCACTGCCCACCCACGCCGGCTTGTTCAGAAGAAAACCCAGGCAGCGTAGCTTTTCATCTGTAAGTGTATTTCTGTATCCTCTCCAAAGATGAGGAGTCTTGAAAAACGTACCCCTAGTGCCACCAAGACGCCTAAAAATAAGCAGCGTTTTTTGGGGGGTGTGTGTGTGTGTGTGTGTGTGATCTGATCATCGGTTCCTCATCAACGAGTTCACTCGTCCCTAATTGTCTCCTCATTTTGTTTTTGTTTGGATCTGGATCCAAATCAGGTCTACTCATATGCATGCATGGCAGTGGGTGGGTCCGTCTTTTCAAGATGTAATCTCCGAGCGATCCTCCTCCTGTTCCCCTTTCTCGCGGTTTCTTTCCTAGCAGCTTTTGGGGTGTCGTTGGAGGAACCAGGTCGTTTGTCCTGTAGGGCTTCCCATCTGACTCTGCAGGCTCCGATCCCCTGAGTCCCCCAGGGCGCTGCTGTGAAAGGAGACCTGCCCCTCCTCGCCGCCAGGCCTTCCCTCTGGGAGGAAACGGGCTAGACCTGGGGACCTACGTGAGCTTTCTCAGGTGCAGGGCCGTCCTTCCCAGGCAGAGCAGGTCCCTGGTTTTTGCACTCCGCTTCGGGGCTTGGGACTCTGCAGAAAGCACCAGTTCTGGGGCCGAGAGAGAGCTCCCGGCTGCCTTCTTTCCTCGGTAGTGGAGGCCATGTCTTGGCCACGTCAGCCGTGCCAAGGTATGGCTGGTGCCAGCAGTGCTTCCCCAAGCCTCTGCTGGAGGCCCAGCCCGTCTGGTGGCACCAGTGTGGATTTGTGGGAAGGGCCACAGGAGCACCGGTTGCCCTGGGGTGTGTGTGTGTGAGAGAGGCACGCGGGGGAGGGGGGCGGCTAACTCCAGGCTTGGCCACTGTGCCTCCTTTTTCAAGCCCCAGAAATGCCACCGGTCTGCGGCTTCGAGGCAGCGCCATCTGGTGTCGGGGCCGGCAAAGACTGGCCCAGGAACCAGATGCGTGCTGTGAGAGGAACGCGGACGCTCTCTGAACCCCCAGAACCTCCTGGAAGAGAGGTCGCTATTGTTCGGCTTTGGCTGCAAAACTCCTCTGTTCGTCTAATCCGGGGAGGCAGCGGAGCAGGCCAGCGGTGGGTTACTGGTGCGACGGCTGTCGCGAGGTCACAAGGCCAAGGCTGTCTTCTTCCCCTTTCTCTGTCTTCAGGTGTAACACGGCAACCTTTCAAATGCCCAGGGCCGCTCTCGGGGTTCCTTTCTACCTCGCTTCCCCCAAAGCTGTGCCTTCTGCAGACGAAGCCTGCCGTTCTCTCCCGCCTCCCGCGTGTGACGCAGCCTCTTGCGCCCCTGCCTTTTGCTCACCTGGAGGCCTTCTTATATATATTTTAAATATATTTTATTGATTTTTTTTTTTTTTTTTACAGAGGAAGAGAGAGGGATAGAGAGTTAGAAACATCGATCAGCTGCCTCTTGCACACCCCCTACCGAGGATATGCCCGCAGCCAG